AGGGACTCATGAGTGCAATACTATGCAGTGTGCACTGTATGCAGGTGCTGGCATCCTTTTCTCTATAGTATAGACTAAGTTCTCAGCAAGGGACTAGTACTCTGCAGTAACGAGCTGCTGCCAGCTGGCAGACTTTTCTCTATAGACCAAGTTCTCAGCAAGGGACTAATGGGTTAAAACTTAAAAGTTAAAACAGTTAAAACAGCTTCCCAGTTGAAGTCCCATACTGATTGAGTAATAGTCTTGTACGGTGCCTGTAAAAAAAAGAAAAAAAGAAAAGCATGGTCTGATCAGCTGCTCACAACCCTTTTTCTATACACTAAGTGCTCAGCTAGGGACTCATGGGTTAAAGCAGGTTCCCACCCTAGGCGCTCTGCAATCTCATCCATCTTTTTGACGAATGCGGCTTGATGTTCTTTTCGCAAGCCTAGGATAAACCGTGAGCCCTCCACCACAATGCGAGCATCGTCCTTGGTGATCGAGTTCATATCTACATTGTCGAAGGCCTGCGCATACCCCACACCTATCACAACAGCATCAAATTTTTTGGTACGAAACATTGGCTTCTGGAGAACAACCTTGTGCAGGTCGCCTGTTATGAACACAAGCTTAAACAAATCAAGGGTTTCTGCAGCATTCTCCGACCAACCCTCGACCAAACAGTCCTGCTCCTCTTCTTCATTCGTCATGATCTTATCCTCCGTGTCCTTCTGCTTGGCCTCCATCTCCTTCTTGACGTTCTCTATCTCCTCTTCTCCATTCTTCTTCTTCTTCTCTACCTCCGGCTGCTGCTTCTCCTCCGTCTCCTTCTCGAGCTTCTCCTCGTCCTCATCATCCTTCGACACCACTTTCTCCTCTCCCTTCGCCTCCCTCTCTTCCCCTTTCTTTTCCTCTTTCCTCTCCTTATCTTCCTCGTTCCACTCCCTCTCCCATTTCTCCTCCCCCTCCTCCTGCTGCACTTTCTCCCTCTCTTCCTTCATCTCCCTCCCCACCCCCCCCTCCTCCTTGTCCCCAGGCTCTTCCTCTTTCTCTTCGCCCGTTTTCTTCTCGCCCGTTTTCTTCTCTAACACCTTTTCCTCTTTCTCCTCCGCTTGCCTCCTCCCCTTCTTCTCCCCTTCATCCCCCAACCCGTTTACCCCCTCCGCTTCCTCCTCCTCCTCCTCCTCCTCCTCCTCTTCCCGACTCTCCCTCTCCTTCTTTCTCACCTCTTCGGCCCTCTCCACTTCCTCTTTCACCTTTTCCTCCCTCTCCTTCTCTTTCTCCCTCCTAAGCCTCCTTTCCTTTTCCTTCTCCCCCCCCCCCCCCCCCCCGACAACACTAGAAGCCGCAGCGTCACGACAAACATCCGCGCAGGCATGCGCACTGTGTATATCTATCTTGTCCTTCTCGTTCGGATCCGATCGTTCCTCCGAACGGATCGCATCGCCGCCATCTCCATCATCTATGCAAGCAACGCGAGCGCAGCTCCCTCCGCTCCCTCCGCTCCCTCCGCTCCCTCTATCCTTCTCATTGACGTCAACGTTACTGAGGAAAGCTCGCCCCGGTTTGGCAACGGACCCGCGCTGGTCTAAGGAGGACCTTGTTCCAGACTCACTACCCAGCTCAGAGGACTGCGTTTGACCCTGGACTGTACGTGGACCAGCGCTCGATCCAGGAACGTCCATCGGTTCCAGTCGTGGGTCAACAACGACAGTACCACAACACGAATCCAGAGCAGGTCTTGTCAACGGCTGAGAGTCCGCAGCAGTTGGCTTTGCGGCTCTACTCAGCTCATCAGGGAGTGTAGTGGCTGCCTTGAAGCTCAGGATTCCAGGTCCTTCACATTGAGGATCGGCGTTTGACGGCTCCACATTCTCACCAAGCGACTGGATGGGAGCAGAAACCACCGCTGGCTGAACAATAGCCGTCTCTCCCTCGGAGGCAAGCACAGATGCAATGGCGATGGCGTTGTGGGTTCCAGGAGTCGAACTCTTGCCCTCATCTCGCACTGCAGACTCAGTCTGATCATCGGCTCCTATGCGGGGACAAGCTTGTTGTCCGCGGTATTCTTCTCTATGAATGCCATTCTTATCTTCCTCCCTCTCTCCCTGTCTTTGCCTCTCCCTCTCTTCTTCTTCTTCTCCTGTCTCTCTCGCCCTCTCTCCCTCTTCCTCTCTCCCTCTTTCTCGCCCCGCTCTATGATTGCCATTCTTATCTTCCTCTCTCTCTCCCTGTCTTTCTCTCCCCCTCTCTTCTTCCCCTCTTTTTTCTCTCGTCCTCTCTCCCTCTTCCTCTCTTCCTACCTCTGCCCCGTTCTCTCCGTCTCCCATGTCCTCGGAGTCGGATTCGCATACTGATACCGAAGCTGATGCCGAAGCCGAAGCCGAAGCCGACGTCGATGCTTGTTCCGACGGACCTAGCTCGCTGCTCGTCTCATGAACTGTAGGGAGCATACTGTATCCCGCGCCATGCGCCTGAGACTCGGACTTGCAGTCGGACTCACTCTGCTCCACTTCCGCCACCACCACCTTCTTCCCCTTCTCCTCTGCCGTTCGATATATCTTTGAATGCTGCAGCTCGTAAAGCAGTGAGGTCAGATTGAACACTGCCAACTCAGTCTCTGTGTGAAGGTGCACGCCATTTCTTGTCTTCATCAGGTTCCGGTTTTCCGTAGCAATGCTAAATGCTGGATAGGGCCCATTTAGTATGTCCCCCCAAAACCCCCTCTGCTCGATGGTACGCCCTCTCTCCTCCCCATTTCTGTCTACATAATCAAGGGTACGTCCACACGCCCACGACTGCAGAGAACGGTTAGGTTCCGTGTAAACACAGTCCCGGAATCGGTAAGCTATTCCCGTTGCGCGCCAGTCTTTGAAGTTCCGGCTATGGACGACAGGCGCTCGTTCGGCAAGGGCCATGCTATAGTCCCAGTCGGCGAGGTTCCTTTGGAAATCGTACCTCTCCCCAAAGTACTTCCGCATGCGTCTGTCACGAAGAGCAGCTATGTCGAAAGGTACCTTCCGTCTCCAGGAGCAGAACAGGTCAGCAAGTGCATCGCATTCCTTATGTCTAAGCAAACTTAAGTCTATCAAGCGCAGGAGGACGGGGCTGATCTTTTCCAGGAGCAGTTGCTCTGATTTGGGTTTGAGCTTGTCGACGGAGGGGAGGGGGTTAATAAGCTTGTTAGAAGGGGTGGGTTGGGGTTGGGGGTTGGGCAGTGGGGTTGCATGCAGTTGACTGCAGTGAACCAGCAAAGCGAGCTTCTTCCCCAGCTCTTCCAAGTACTCAGCAGTCTTCTCGCGGACCAGGACGTTGCCATGCAGCTCCAAGAGCATCTCCACACGAGATCGGGTCAGCAGTTGGTCGTCAAACATAAGAGCAAGGAGGGCTATGTGCCGAGCAAGCGGGGCCATACGAGGCTCGTAGATGTAAAGCTCCACGTCATGGCGAAGCCAGCGATGGGACCGGCAGATGGTAGTCACGGTGTGGCGGCAATCGGCGGGACCTATCAGCAATACACGGACAGGAGGGGGAGCTGCTGTGTCCTTGTGTTCACCATCGGATCGTGGATCTTCTGGCCCCTTGATTGTAGCCCTTACGTTCGATCCCATAAGGGTTATTCCTTTGGGAGGGTTCCAAGGCATGCAGTACGCATGAAGATCAAGGGCCCTACTAGCGCCCCAGAAGGCGTCCACATTGCTGGGGTCCATTGCCGCGAGCTGCGTCCCCCCCTCCCGCGACTGAAAGCAAACCACCCACCTCGTCTGCTATACACTCGAGGTTCTCTCTCTCTCTCTCTCTCTCTCTCTCTCTCTCTCTCTCTCTCTCTCTCTCTCTCT